GAAGAACTAGGAGTGACACAGGAGAGAACCTATATTAATGCATGCTTAAGGTAATGTTTACATCAGCAGCCATTATGGCGTAGTAGAAAGAATTAGATGAAACGGAGTTCAGACTGTCAATGGGACACTCATTAGCACGGTAACTTCAGAAAAAGATAAATTCTTCTGGTATCAGTTTCTCCATCTATAAAATGGGGTGCTACCACCCACCTTGATTCATAGTATTGTTTGCCTAAAAGAGAAAGGGAAAGAAGGAGAGAGAAGATGGCAAACATACTAGCATTCTAGTAAATCCTATCTTCTGGTCCACTGCTCGCATTCAGAATCGATACAACTGAGGGTCATAAGTAACTTGATTCAGTTAATGGCTCTTATTGGGTCTTTCCCCTCCTCCAGAAACTGTCACTAAGACAAGAATGTGAAAGTTAGTAGTTTGAGAGGTGGTTCCAGGAACTAGCAATAGGGGAATAGGGACCAGCAAGAGTATTTCTCAACATTATTCCAACCACAGGATGAAGAAGCAGAGGTTAAGTATCTACCAATTTGCATATGTCATTAATTGAGAACTGCTTCTAAGGGTCCATTAAAAGCTTGAGTACTTCTAATGTACCCCCTCTTATCCTCAAAGCAAGCTTTGGCAACCAGAAAATGCTCTTGGGGAAAAATCAGTATTGGTTATCTTATTTAATTGTAACTGGTTGATTATTCTGACTTCTTCAAATTTAATCCCAATGAAATTAAATCATGAAACTGGAACATTGTAAGAGAGCTTTGAACAAAGGAAAACAGATATGAATCTAGCCTCCATGTTGTGAAAGTTAGAAATTACAGACTTCAATTTCTTAGGTTAGTTTCAGTTATAGAAATGTGAGTTAAAATGTTATTTAATGTTTGGAGAATTTAAATACTGTGCTGAAATTGCCTTCTCAGAAAGATAAGGAAAATTTGTTTACAGACTATTTAAATTCCTATGAGCACAAAAGTACTAAGAACAAAGAGCATTTCTGGAGATTTGCCAGGTAGGGCAAAGGTCTTTAAAATTAAACTATACATGCTCTGATCCTTGTTACTGTAGTTAAAAATTATAATGAACTTTTGTCATTCTTTTGGCTGGCCAGTATCTGAACCCCATCCTATGTTTGGGGAAATTTTGACCTTGTCTTGATAGGATGCAAAACAATCTCCCACTATAAGAATTTAAAGTTCCAGATAATCACTTTTCTAGCTTTCTTTGCAGTCAAGTATGGACACATGGCCAAGGATGAGCCAAGAAGTTCCCTTCCCAAAATTTGAATGGGGATCTAGTGATTTATGGAAGCAGGAATGGTAGACAACCATCTCTGAATGCAATGGCAGTTGCAGAAAGATAGTTTCTGGGGGCAATTGTGTTGCTATGGTAGCTCTTTCAGTGACATGTGAGATGAGAGGACATAAGTTGAGGCATTTAGTAATTGGTAACACTGGCAGCGTTATGTGATGTCCTCACTTGGCCAGGTCTTTGAAGTGGTTAGGGTTTTATGTCTGGCTGCTTGTTTTCCAGCTTCCTCAGAAATTCTGTAAGCAGTTTTCTTTTAATGTAGCCTAGTGAATACTTCAGTGAGGTAAAGCTTCAAAGCTGATTTCAGCTAGCTACAACCCAAAGAGTTCAAAATTCAGTATCAGGAAGTAGGGTGTTGTCAGCAGCAAATGCGAAAACGTCCAATTAGCAATGTCAGACTTCTCAATATACTGCTACTCAGTACTAAGAAAATCAATCTTTCAAATGCCTATTTCAGATATGACCATAGGAAAAATAAACTGGGAGATTATTCCAAGAGGCAGAACCAGGGATCACAAAAGACAGGATGAAGGGCATTCCCTGTAGAGAGTAGAAAGAGGGTCAGCCTCATTGACTGAGAGGAACTCACTCCTCTCCCAGGCAGGAGTCTCACCATCCCTGTGTAGTCTGGATAAGGTATGTGTTATGGGGAAGTGACTGAAGTGGTTTTCTGTTCTTGCCCTTTCCCAATCAGACTGTATATTGTAGTCTATTGTTGAACCATGAAGAGCAAACACAGTAATGGATCAGAGGAGACAAATGAACATTTGTTTAATCATGCTTCTAGCTTCTGTAAACTTGATGCTTTAACATCTGCCCTGCATGCATATGCCAGACACACCTGGTTCTGGACAACCCGGTAATATGCCCGAGTTACCTTGCCTTGGCAAATTGCCTGCCTTGTTACCTTCTCCATCTCCCTCCAGGAATCCTCCCTAGGGTGTGACTTTTAAACACAAGTCCATCAATCCAGAGTTTACACCCCAACTGCTTTCCTTGTAGGGTTCTCATACCCTGGGTCACTATATACCCATCCTAAACACCCCAGGGCCAGGCAACTAGGGGAAGCCTCTTTGCCCACCGAATTATTCAAAACAGCCAATCTTAAACCCGTTCACCTGCCTCATCCATTTCTTCTTGCAGAAACCACAATAAAACCTCTTGCCCATAGTCCCCCCCCCTCCCATCTGCCTCGTGACTGACCCACGTACTTCTCCATGAAGCCACCTTGGCAAGATGTATACTCGCTCTTGGAACTGTTTGAGTGTAATAAATTATCTCTTTGATGACACTCTTACCATGACTAAATAATGGTGTTAAAACTACATTACCCTGGGCGCCTGGGTGGCTCAGTGGATTAAAGCCTCTGCCTTCGGCTCAGGTCATGATCCCGGGGTCCTGGGATCGAGTCCCGCATCGGGCTCTCTGCTCAGCAGGGAGCCTGCTTCCTCCTCTCTCTCTGCCTGCCTCTCTGCCTACTTGTGTTCTCTGTCAAATAAATAAAAATCTTAAAAAAAAACAAAAAACAAAAAAAAAAACTACATTACCCAACAATCCTGTACTTGGATGTAGTAACCTGATGAAACTTTAGATTACTTCCTCTTACGGAGTACGTGAATAATTTCAACAAAGACCTGAACACCTTTTAAGTTTATGTAGAGATATCGGGCGATTGGTGAGGTGGACTACAGCAAACATTGTTGGTTTTCTACTCAACATCCGTTACTCTCTCCTTTCAGGCAAAACACCAGTTTTATTCAGGTATTAATCCCGCTCTTCACTGACTCAAGGGATCATGACCTTTTTCCTCCTCCAGAATTAAATTCCATTTGATATGAGCCAGTCTCAGTGGTCTCTTTCCCCTTGCCAGTGAATGACTCAGGATTGAGCAGGGATTCCAGGTATGGACAATAGGAGAGGTTTTAGGGGGGATTCTGGAAAATTTCCCCAACTGCAAAGAAGACACTAGATTAAGTGGCTCTTTCTGTTAGTGGACCTTGCTGTGCTGACAGAGCTGAACTGCAGTAGTCACTTTACTTGTAGCAAACCTGAGGATAAGGCCAATGGCAAGAAAAGCATAACCAAAGACTCACCAGAAAACAAAGCCAGAACAATAATGTATCATGGTTGTAGCCTACTCTTCATTTGGACTTCTTGATCTGTGAGACAGTACATTTTCTTTCTTAAACTAGTTTGAGTCAAGGGCTTTCATTACTTGAAGCCCATAGCCCATTCCGACAAATCTCCCTTTTACTAAGAGTTGATAAGAAATGAAGTTTTCCAAGAGATAGCAGTATCACTCTAAAACTTGTAAATTTGATCTTTCATCACATCAATTGCTGTAATTACTTATGTAAAGCATGATTGTTAAAATTGTACTTGTTCACCTACATTATAAAGTGTTGATTACAGGAAATTGTTCACTTAAGCTGCCTATGAACTCATGAGCCTTTTGTTGATTAATTCCCCACTCCAAATCCTGGATGAGTGTGCTTATCAAAGAGAATCTTCACTGACTCCTACAGCTGTTGGAGATAAAGCTCTGATAGCACATCCAAGCGTTGTACAAAGCTTTTTTCTTGCACAATTTGCAAACTTCTCATATTTGAACCACATCTATTTCTTTGACACGGATTGTTCATTTGTCCGACCACTGATACATTCATGTGCTCTCTGTATTTGGATTTCTGATTCTGGGGCCCACTACTGAAAAACACCTAGATGCTCTACATTCTTCTTCCACATTTAGTCCTTTAACTGGTTCGTGGCCAAGCTAAGTCAGGGCTGCTCCTGACAATCCTTGAGGTAGTCTATTTCACATACTCAGGGATTTTCGCTGTGCTTGCCTGACAAAGCACACACAATCCCTACCTGCAGCCCCTTTTTTTCCTAGTAACTAACTACCCACGGCTTTTAAAATTCACCCAGGTTTAAATTAAAGCAGCAGCCACCCATCAAATTCAAACTAATATTGCAAAGGCAAACAGAGTATCCTTAGCTTTGAAATGAGGGGCAGGAAACTTGAAGAAATGGTTCATTTCAGTTGTCAAAGATGTAACTTTCGGGACGCCTGGGTGGCTCAGTTGGTTAAGCAGCTGCCTTCAGCTCAGGTCATGATCCCAGCGTCCTGGGATCGAGTTCCACATCGGGCTCCTTGCTTGGCAGGGAGCCTGCTTCTCCCTCTGCCTCTGCCTGCCACTCTGTCTGCCTGTGCTCACTCTCGCTCCTCTCTGACAAATAAATAAATAAAAATAAAAATCTAAAAAAAAAATGTAACTTTCACCAATTCATGAAAAAGTAGTAAATTGCTTTAAGCTTAGTTTACAGTATCATTATCAAGAGTCTGTACCATCAAAATACAAACTGAAATTCCATCCGAATTACATGAGTTAGGTAAAAATGTATGAACCAAAACATCTAAATATAAATTGTGGTTATATGACTGTGTACAACACTCCAATTCTGTGAAGGACTGCATCAATGTCTGATAATAAGACATGTGACTATGAAAATATTCATGTGAATCAATGTGCGTATGAAAATATTCAGGGCCCATTTTATAATTGTATAATTGTGTAATTGTAATTGTATAATTTTTGTAAACTCTGGAGGTTGAGAGAGAGATTTCAGGCACAGTCCTTTAAAAATAAGGAACTAAAAGCAACGAAAAAGAATGAATTCCTCATATCCAGCAACACTGATGAACTTCATCAATATATTGAAAGGAACAAAAGCAAATGCAAAAGAATACGAACTATAGGATTCATTTCATGCTATGTTCAAGGTGGGCTTTGGAAAAAATGGGTTATGAGATGCTGTATCTTCATTTAGATAATGGTTAAGTGGGTGTATACATCAGTCTGTACAGGTTAGATGTAACTAATGCTGCCACACTGATGCACTTGACATACTTCACAATGTTGTGTGAGCCCAACCAATAAATTGCTCTTCAGTAAGGTATCTGGTAAACTTTAATTATTAATAAAACTTATAAATATTGTTAGAACTGAAGTTTCACAACAGAAAAAGCCATGTCTGTTTCACTGAACACTGGACACCTCACCAGAGAAGAGTTCAACTGAGTCATTCAGCCAGAGGACGGTGACCAAAGAGGCTGGGATACCATATACCAGGAAAAGAACGACCTCGATAGAGTCTAACAAGTCTCTCTCCCCGGTCCTTGGGTGCTGACAGGGAGTCCCACCCTGTTTCAAGTATGGTACGTGTCATAGAATGTATGGAGGTTTCAGTCTTTGGGCAGCAGGAATGGACTGGTCTTTAAGGACCAACCTACTTGTGAAAATGGCTTTTGGTCAGCCCACTTTTGTAAAAGGCAGAGCCCAGATTTCTGCCAAAGAGAAATCTGCTCTGTGGAACAATACAAATGGAATCAGAGCTGACTGGAGGCTTTTTGGAGAATTGTCAAGATGAACCCTTCAAGCTGGCATCGGTTGTAGGTGGGACTTTGGAGAGAAAATGTTAATTCTATTAAGTTATTTGCCAAATGAGCTGTGTGGTGAAACCTCTTCACCATTTCCTCTTTGCAACGTCTGGTAAAATTTGTATTTACAGAGCGTATTTCTTTGCAGGGAATGAACATAAATGCTAGGTCCTACTTTTTAAGGTTAGCACAATTGAATGGTCTCAGTTCCTCTGGGCTGCTGTAACAGAATACCGTAAACTGGGGGTCTTATAACCAGAAATTTCTTACAGTTCAAGAAGCTGGGAAGTCCAAGATCAGGGCGCCAGCACATTCAGTGTCTGTAAGAGCCTGCTTCCTGGTTCATAGGAGGCCGTCATGTGTCCTCGCAAGGCAGAAGGGGTGAGGAAGCTCTCCGGGCCTCTTCTACGAGGCACTACGCCCACTCATGAGAGCTCTTCCTTCCAAACAGCCTGCCTCCAAATATCATCACACTAAGGATTAGGTTTCAACATATTTTGGGGAAGATGCAAACATTCATGTTTATTCCAGAAGGCCAGACTACATGTGCAGATAGCCAATATCATTACCTTCATTTAGTCTGCCATTTTTAAAGAATCCCTGAAAGACACAAAGAAAAAGGGCAATGGTAACAAATTAAATTGGGTAGGCTCCAGGAAGCTCTTGGCCTGGACTGAAGATGGCCCATATGGTCTAGGAAGCTCTCCTGCATCATGGTAATACAGATGGGATACAAATCAACCTGCCAAGCAGGAAGTAAGAACAGGGTTTCTTTCTTCATTCCTAATGGAATGCTCAGAATAAACCATAGCTTTCAAGTCCCATTTCCTCCCTGGATTTATCTGCTAGTCTCTATCCTTTATTTTTTTCTCCAACTTTCCCAGCCTGATCTTAGCTGGGCTAGTTTAAGGGAGGAGAAGTCCACAGTTTTCCGAAGTTAGGCCAGAGATAACAAGGCAAGAGCACCTTCTTGTGGCTGAGTGACAGGATAGCAAGAAATCTTAGCTTCTGGATCTACCCCAGGGCAGAGATGCCAGGAAATGATGTGTGGGAAGTATAGCTTTGGAGTTCTATCATTAAGGTAGGTGGCATTTTCCTTAGATCATTTTTTTAGCGCCACAGGGTTGCAGACCATGAAGTCTGAAGTGCAGTGAAAATAAAGTTTTGAAAGTCATGAATGTACTTTAGCATGAAGACTATCATGTGCAATTATTTTGCTGTTGCTAAAGCGATCAGATAATACATTAGACTGATTTTTTTTTTTTTGCCTGAGTGTATGACAGGAAAACATTTAAATCTATATAGATCAAATCATCTCTACTAGCATTGTTTACCTAGAAGTATTGCATAAACAGTAAGAGCGAGGACATTTAGTTTATATTTTCAAATGGGGCTGGATCATTTAAAAGTTGTTCACTGGCAGATTTTTTTCACCAACTCTGTATAATTATAAACCATTTAGTAAAAGATTAGAGACAATGACGTTAATTGTTTTTCCCTCTCCAGCATTTAAGAGAAAAATCCTGAAACTGGTACAGATTTCTGATGTCAGGAAATCATGAAATATAGGAGAATATTTAGCAATCAGGGTGACTTAGCTCATGGTAATCAGCGTATGGACAATTATAATTTGCATTCCAGTTACTGAAGCTGAGAAAGCCTTGCTCAGGTTGAACATACGGTGAGTAGAAGAACTCTTTTTCTAAGAAATAAGATGGAGAGAGTCTTTGGAGAATGGCTTCACTGAACTGGTAAGTTAGCTTCCTCCGGATTTTAGTGACTTCCCCAGTTCTTCCATAATTCCTCAGTGCTCTGGCCATTTTCTGGTAAGTCATGGTCTTCCGATTGCCTTTTCTTTTCCCCCAAAGTTGGGCAAGTTTTTCTTTGTTTTTTGACACAAACTGGAAGATGCCTTTGGTTTTATCTACCCACTGAATACAAGATGCCATCTCAGGATTACACAGGGATTCATGAAGGTATTCAAACAGTCGGAGCTTCTTCCTGCCTAAAATGGAGAAAAACAATGTCATACTCCACCGTGGCCACACACAAAGAACATCCTCAGGTAGGGTCTGTTGAGTGACTACGAAACTCAAAGCTGCATTGGGACTTGAAAGTCAGACATCTGTTTGGCCCTACTGAAGTTTCAGTTGGACCGTACTTTGTTGGGGATGTTTAAAAAATCTTGTACTGTCCTCTACTGGAAAACAGAAGCCTGATGCCTCTTTATCCGAGTCTACCCTCAGTCAGTCTATCCGATTTCTTCGCAATCAAATCTTGACTACCCATTCCATGTCATATTTTAGAACAACAAAACTGAGAAAATGAACTGCAAGGTTTAGTGGTTTTAAACAAAGTGAAGCCTCAAAAGCCATTTTCACAAAGCAAATCATTTTAAAGGGCTTTATCCAAATGAGTTAAGTTAAATGAGGTAAGGAATGTGAATGTATTTTAAAAAAATGCAAAACAGTATTCAAATATAAAGTAGTGTTAGTGAAATTAATATCAAAGACTTGGATTAGAAAGAAAAAAAAGACAAAAACTGTGGGTCTACCTAGTTATGCGAAATGAAAAAGAACAAAAAAAAAATGGAGTGGAAAATGCCACCTTCATTGCCATCTTCATGACATTTTGGTATCATTTATGAGCAGTTAACAATGGGCACTATGATATTTTTCATTGCTGTGAAATAAAATGGCACTACCAGAGTTTTTCTCTCTTTAGGAATATAGCCCTTTATATTTCATAATGTCTAGACAGAAAACTTTAGGAGGATTTACTGTGATTTTTGTTCAGTTAACTGGATGTCTTTGGCCTAACAGAAACCAAGGGGGACAGCCCATTTTGTGACTTCTGAATTGGCCTGTAAATACGATGCCTCACCAGATCTGCCAATAGCTTAACATATCCACAGCCGAATTCCCTTTTCCCCTAGAGAGAGTGGAACAGTGGATTCCCAAACTGCTTTGAACAGTCTCTGGAGAGTAATACTCTTGCATCAATCATCATTCATCCTAAAACCTCAAAGGTTTTTAAGAAGATTATCTTTTTGCCTTGTATTATCTTGAAATTACAAATTAAGAAATGAAAGGGACTTACCAAAAAAACACATCATGAATTAAAGTCACAGCCTTAAATAAACTTTGTCTCTTATCCAGTGGTCAAATCAATAATGGATCTTCACCTTTTAAAATGTTTTATTTTGAAAAAAGTTATTTAAACTTATTTTAGAAAGTATGATGTGCTCAGAGTAAAAGATTCAAACAGAAGCACAAAGTGAAAGTAAAATTCCAGTCTATTCTAATACATATTTTTAAAATTAAAAAAATTTGCACATAAACATATGCATATCCTTTAAAAATGTCAGTGGTATCATATTATTTTGCTTTTTCAGTTAAGTAATAGATCTTAAATTAAGTCAGAGAACAGTCAGGAATTAGCTATAGATGGGTAAATACTCAGCTGTTGAAGTAACAACAGTTACTTCTGGGACATATCATGGAAAGAAGAAGAACATTTCCACTTATTCTTTGTCAATTTCTGAATACTTTGAACTTTTAATAATGTGCATTACTACTTTTAAATCATGGAATTAAAAAGGATTAAAACAAAAAATGTACCTTAGAACTCTTTATCAACAAGTTAAGATATGCCTTCATGCCTTTTAACAGCTCTGTGTTCTGTTTTATGCGTGTACTATTTTTCTCTGGATAATAACTCCCCAAATAATTTCAAAATTTCAGGTGGAAGAAGAAAATTCAAAAACCGAAAATTATGGGTGGTATGTCCCATACTGGCAAAGCTTTACACCATAAAACGTCAATGAAAAGATAGAGGTTTTTAGTTAAAAAATAATAGTGACAAGCTAAACACTTGGACAGAGGTAGAAGTAATATTCTCCTTGTATTAAATTACTACTAGTAATAGTTCAATACTCAATTCCAAAATCCAGTGATACAGATTTATTTTACGTGTGTGATTTTATGCATTATTCCTTGCTAGATTAGATTATTGCTGAATATTTAAAATTTTGTTCTAGGATACAGTATTCTAGGATGCAGATATAGGAACAAAAGTAGTTTTTCAAAAAAATATTTACTGAAAATAATTTAGAAACTGTGATAAAGTATCATTGAAACAATTTCATTGTAAAATTATGATGCATCTTACACTTCTCTGTACCTTAAACACAGATGCAATAAATAGGTTCCATTCTTTTCCTTTAACATTGTTAAGGACATCCTAATGTATATCGTGTACACTCGTGTACATGCACACACACCCTACAGTATTGTGAGAAATAATCCAGAGCCAAGCTGTGAGTGTAATGCTTTACAAGGACTTTCTCATTTAATTTTTACAGCCATCTTACAATCTTTGTACAATTATCATTATTTGTTCTTTGAGTGAGGACACTGTGGTACAAAAGGTTAAGTGATTTTCCCAGGCTCACACAATCAACCCAGAGTTCACACTCACTCAGTTATGTAGTCCCTAAGAGTCAAAAGATATTAACATTTAAGTTTTGGTAGTTACTGCCAAACTGCCTTTCCAAACTTGGTACCAATTTGTACTCAATCCAATAACACATGTGCACACATGTGGCCCACAATGTTGCCATCAGAGGCTACTATCCTGCTTTATCACTTTATCCATCTGTTGGGTGAGATCACCATCAGCTTAAATTTATGAAATCAGGATTTCAAGTTTATGAAATACTGAATTATTATGAAACTTCATTTGCAGGAAACTTAATGGAGAAAACAACTTCCATACCAAGCCCTTCACAATTAGTGTTAAAACTGCTAAAACAACTTAAGGAAAAGTTCCCCTTTCTACACCCCAAATATAGACACATTGTTCATGAATACAGATTTACTTGAGTCAAGTGACACTCTACAGCTTCACATTTCTATGAAGCAAGGGAAGGCTCACCCAAGATGAATGGCTTGGAGTGGCGCAGCCGGTCAGAGGTCAATTATTCTTAATCACAGTACTAGATTATTTTGCAAATGCAGTTCTAAACTCAGATATGAAATCCCTTTAAAGCTGCTTTGAAGATGACTCTGTTCTTTTACCTATAAAAAGACTGATGGATCCACATACCTTTTCCTCCCTTTTGATGGAGAACAGCAGGTTGTATCAGCTGATTTTCAGGGATGTTTGGCAGAGATGGAGGAGTATTTCCTTCAAAATAGAGGTCCGCAGCACTGTTCTATATAAATAATGCAGCAGGATGTTAATGGGACTTTCCATGTGGCCCCAGCTGATGGCTAAAGTCAAAAGCTGAGGACAAAAAGAGTGCTAAGCATCTCCCAAATTCTAAAAGCATAATCCTCAACTGTAGCCAGATTTATCTCCCAGAGCAGAACTAGCCTCAAACCCACATGAAGAGAGGACCAAGGGGCAGAAGCTACTCTTTGGCTCTGTGAAGACTTTCATACCATCCCCTTCCTATGAGAAAGAGGAGGGGCTTGCTTCCTCCCTTCTCCCTAAATATACCAGTGAGAAAGGAAAATTTTGAAGGATTATTAGTACAAAATTGAAGTGCCAGCACAAAGGGGAAGATGGGCTTTCACTCCTCTGTTGGATGCCCATCTGGGCAAGAGGAAACAAAGGGAGAAAGATGGCAGCCAAGGAAGGGCACAGCCAAGAGGGGACAGGAGGAAGCAGCTTGAACTGTTACCATTACATTCGGAAAGCAAATGTAGGTCTTCATGGGGTAACCTGATGATGATGATTTGAACCACCCCAAAATACCCCATGGAAGAGGCTTCCCAAGCAGGCAAGGAGTCCCCAACCATAGAGGCTGTGATATGTACTAGGGATTGGAAGTTGAAGAGGAAGCAGGGTTGCCAGATTTTGCAAATAAAAATATTGCTGTATTTCACCTGGTAACCCCAAGGAGAGGTGGAAGAGAGGTTAAGCTGGAACCTAAATTCCCTATTCAAAGAAATGTCTTGTGGAAAGGCCCTAACAGAACAATTTAGAGGGTCAGGAAGAGGACATCTGACATAGCATGGTTGAAAGTAGTGACTGGGGAAAAAAAAAAAAAAAGGAAAAGAAAAAAAGCCATTTCATATTTATACTGCACCACATTAAGATAGCTGGCATTAAGAAAACAATAGAGGGACACCTAGGTGGTACAGTCCATTAAGTGTCCAACTCTTGGTTTTGGTTCAGGTCATGCTTTCAGGGTCATGGGACTGAGCCTTGTATCAGGCTCTGTGCTCAGCAGAGTCTCCTTGAGTTTCTTTCTCCTTTCCCTCTGCCCCTTGCCCCCCTCTCTCTCTCAAATAAAGAAATAAATCTTAAAAAAAAAAAAAAAAAAAAAAAGAGGGGCGCCTGGGTGGCTCAGTGGGTTAAAGCCTCTGCCTTCGGCTAAGATCATGATCCCAGGGTCACATCTGGTTTTCTGCTCAACAGGGAGCCTGCTTCCCCCGCCTCTCTCTGCCTGTCTTTCTGCCTACTTGTGGTCTGTCAAATAAATAAAATTTTTAAAAAAGGAAGTAATACAAAAGAACACATGAATAGAGAGATAAATGGTGGGAACACTTTGTTTACAGGGGGATGTAACAATATCCCTGAGCTGGTCCAAGACATGTAGCTAGCTCTGAGTTTAGAAAGGGAAACAGAGCAGGTTAATACAAGATTATAGGTAAAGCCAATGCAGGGGAAGTTTGGGCTTTGCCCTATGGCTTTTAGGGGAACCATATTATTTTGCAATTTTCCAAATGGACAAGGAGCAGTAACGTGAGAACCCTAAAAACACATCCTTGTAGAAGTCATTCAAACCCTGATGCTGGGTGAAGAGCAATGACAGAGGGCAGTTTCCTTCTTGACAGCATTGCCAAGGACCACCCATGAGGTCCAATTTACACCACTGATGTCTTTGAGTTTTCTCCGCCCAGCTGCCTCTAAGCTGGGTTTCAGCAAACATACACTAAGTGGAAAGCAGGTGTGAAGAGGGAATTTGCCTGTTACTGGGAGATGATCTACTGGTACATGTACTCACTATTACTGTTCTCCAATTATAGACAGGTTCCTCTGTAGGCAGCATACCATAGCAGGTGGAATTTCCTCTGACTTGAGAGCAGTGGTTGATGAAAGCCAGGTAATTTTTGTAATCTAATTTAAAAACAGAGAGAGAAACTCCAAAAGTCAAAGTTTATAACTGTGTGTGTACCTGATGTATGTATGTTTATATATGCATATATGCTTATGTATGTGGTTGCTTCATCATGTGTTCTCTACAACTTTGCATTTCCCTATGTTTATTGCATTATGCTGGTATCAGAGTCTTCTCTTTCATATCCCATTTCCCTTACTGGAGCACATGTTCCCTGCAAGCAGAGACCCCGTGATTTCTTTTATTTTGGAACTTACCACAATACCATGTGTTAACTCAAGAGCCAAGATACCTATACTTCACCTACACTATCTTTCCATAGTCTACAGGGCAATAGGTAAGGAACAGTAAGAATATTTACTCTCAAAGAAAAGAATATTCTCCTGAGTAATCTCCTGTATGGAAAGTCTGTAAGATAAATTAGAATAACCAAAAAGCCCACTCCAAACAGTTAAAATTATTAGATAAATATCAATCAGATATACTTAATAGTGCTGTATTTTATTTTATGTGCTAGTATTTTATGTGCTAGTTTTCCTATGTGGAATGTCATTCTCTATGTTTTTTGCATTTTCATATGTTACACTTTAAATTTACATAAGCTAGGGTTTAACCCTGCAAGCTTTTCACCTGTTAGAATAAACCTTAGATGCACTAGATAAAAATGCTCTTCTCTGTTACAATTATTCGTGTGTCTGTGTGACGAAGAAGGCATTTGATGTACCGAAAGCAGCTGACTGACACTTTACCTGGGGAGTACTGAAGATCTCCCGTTGAATGCTGCCTCAGTACCTCGAAAGCATCTTCAAAGGCTTGTCCCAGCTTGTCTTGTTCAATGCAGGACTGCTAGAAAGGCAGAATCCTCAAGTTATGAAATCATCAATTGAATTGAATCTTTCTGCTATAAGGGGTGGTTTCTTACCCACGACACTATTGATACGTGAGGTTGGCTAAGTCGTTACTGCAGGGGGCTGTCCTGTGCACAGCAGAAAATCTAGCAGCATCCCTGGTCTCCACCCACTCACTGGATGCCAGCAGCACTCTCTCAACCCTGGTTGAAATCCACTGCTCTATAACATATAGTATTTAGAGAACAATACTCATTCTACGGTACAGTATTTAACATTCTCTTAAAAGTTTAGTAGGAGTCGTATTGCAGGAGACTGATTTGGAAAAAGGGATCAAGGAACTATCTTTCATAGAACAATCTCAATCGGTGCTTAAAATGGAAATGCTCTTAATTTCAAAAACATGTCCTTGAGACATAAAATTAAACTTTTTTTTTAACTTTAATGTATTTGAGATGGAGACAGAGAGCGCGTGCGAGCAGGGAGGGGCAGAGAGGGAGGGAGGAAGAATCTGAGGCAGACTCCGTACTGAGCACGGAGCCCTATGCAGGCAGGGCTTGATCCCACCTCCAGACCATGACCCAACCTGCAACCAAGAGTTGGACCCTTAACTGACTGAGCCACACAGGTGCCCCCATATTAAACTCTTTTGTAAACCATTTCATACCCTTATAATCTGAACCACAGATTACTTTCAAAATGGAGCATAATGATCCTTCAAGAGGATGCTCATCCTCCAGATCATCCAAGATTGGAAAATAACAACTTACCATGCTTCATTAATATATTGACAATTCTGAAAAAGATTAATAAAAAAATTAATAGTGTATTTAAATTACCTCTGAATTAAAATCTCTTACTCAAAATATTTTCTGAAGATACCCTGTAAAAACCAAAAGTACCATCCGAAGTCTCTTTAATGAGTACACATTTTTCTTCTTACAAAATTTCCTACAAACATTTTTTTTTTGCTTTTTTATTATTACAAAACTTTTTAAATGTTGAAGTAGCTCAACAGGGTTAATTACCTAAATGGCTTCACTTGTAAGAGTTTTAAAAATTACTGAGGAGAATATTTAAGTATTTCAAAATCCTTTTAAGAATTAAAGTATTTAAAGGGGCGCCTGACTGGCTGGGTCAGAAGGGCATGTGACTCTTGATCTTGGGGTTTTGAGTTTGAGCCTCACATTGGGTGTAAAGATTACTTAAAAATAAAATCTTAAAAATAAAGTACTTAAAAATTCTGAAAATCAGAAACCTTTTTACCTTAGCATAGCTCTCCTTTTATAATGTTGTGGGTTTTTTCCCCCAATCTTTCTGGTGTCAGCCTACTGAGAATCTGGTGAAGAAAGGCTTTCTCTAATCTACATTACACATAAAATTTACCCTGTAAAACCCATCCATTCACTAGAAAAAAATCCTAGGATAGGAACCCTGGTCTACTTTCTAATCCGTTAGATTTTGTTCTAAATAAACAGTGATTTAAAAAACAACAACAACAACAACATTAAATGGTTTTTTTAAAAAAGATTAACGTTCTGCAGACTAAAAACAAATAAATCTACATAACAAGAGTGAGCATGGGGGGGCACAATTGTTTATCTTTTTATTTAGCACAAGCAACTGTTTACACGTTATCATTTACCCCACAAATGCAGTGAGCTTGTTAACACTGCAGAATAGAAAGAGATAATACAATCCAACACACTATTATACATATCCATCAATAATTACATCAATATAATACATCAGACACTGAAATTCTATTCAGCTCTTCGAAATCACTATACCATGTCAGTTAAAAGAAAATGTGAGGAAAAAAAAAATCCCTAAAAAGAAAGTTAACTATGTGAGGTAACAGGAGTGTTAACTAACCTTATTGTGGTTATCATTTCATAATATATTCGCATGTCAGATTATCACATTTTCCACCTTAAACTTACACAATTATGTCAATTATATCTCAAAAAAGCTGGAAAACAGCTTTCCAATGTGAGAGATGTTGAACAATTTAGCAAAAACTTAAAAGAAAAAAATAAAGAAAACCCAGAGATCACTGCCTGGGTTACGATCCCTAATAAATATTATCAGTATATGTGTTTTTTTTAAAAGGCAAGTCAATGAACTTTCAATTAATTATGCCTCAACTCATATTCACTAAAGCAAATACATGAGTAGTGTTGTTTGAATCAAATACTTAAATGACTTTGACTAAAACACACCACAAAAGACAACTATTGCAACTCTTTAAGATAGCAAACCCAAAGAGAAAAAAAAAGCTCGCAAACTCTATTGATTACTTCAATTGCTTAATCTTTCTTGTATCTGAACAGCTGATACAAGAAACATTCTTTAGGCCGAAAGAGAAAATTATCACAAGGTATTTTGAGAATCAGAAGCTAAACACTTACCAGGAAGACACTGCAGCTCTTTACAAAATAGATGTTTCATTAATTTCAGAATCGTTAAGACAGAACTGTCAAGAACTCACTGGCAGAGTCGCATTAAATAGCTGTTTTTAAGGAAGTGCTACAAAAGGGGATTTTTTTTAAAAGATACAGTGTACTCACGATTTCTATTTCATGATATGGCCAACAGACTCCAGGGGCTATTATTTTGAAGAAACACGTAGAAGTTTATATCCCATGGGCCAAAAGCATCCAAACAAACCCCATGAATCCCGCCCAGCATTAACTGCAGCACCTCTTGGACCCCACAAGCACACTGGAAACCTCTGACCCGCACAACTCTCGTTCATCCCTTGTTCCTGTTTTCCCCCCAATTCTAGATCCTATATTGCCTTTCTTGCCTGGACTATAAACAACCTTCACTCTGGCCTTCCCAAATTGGCCTCTTCCCTTTCAAACCACTTCACTCCTACCCATCGTCTTAAGAGATCATAAAGGCTCCGGCTCTTGTCCTGGCACTCCAGGCTCCTCATCCCAACCTTAACCTCATTTACCACGATTCATTTTAAGAGCAGGAAGTGGAGTCCATTACTATGATCTTCCTTTCATACCTAAATCCAGTAGAGGCTCCCCAACAGTCAGGAATGGCTCATGCGTGGTGATCTGGGATACACTTGAGGCTGCGGATTTGCAGAGAAGTCCAGTTCTCTTACTTAGCTAAAAGATCTATTGGAAATGGATTTGGGTGGCTCTGATAAAAATTGTGGGGTGCTCCCTCCACCTCTAATTCTTCCTTCCCAGTCCATCACAGGCCCAGTTACCCATTCCATTTTACCTGTCTATCAGGGTCTGATCTAGTATCCACAAGTACCAAGCAGGAGTAACTTCCTTTCTGAAACACGTGTCTGAACCAACCTTACCTAACTGCAAACTTCTACCATTTTAACAGATATCACATTTCGCCAGGGGGAAAACCACCTAAGAATTTTTTGTAAACCTCGTGGGTGGGGAGAGAGACTTTTCTGTTTTGCATTGCTGGAATCTGAGCTCACCTTTGATACGGGACTATTGTTCTGGACCATCTACTTTTTGGACCCAATTTGTTATGCAAATGTAAACACACTTCTCCTCTTCTGAAATGTAGATGTTATAGTAAAGACTGTATAACACTGTAATCACTGATGTTGATGAGGTTTTAATCTGTACCATTTCCCTGTCTACGCCCTCCACTTTGTTCTATCCTATTCATTTATTAAACAAGTATGTATTTCTGAGCTTTTTTCTCTGGTGGACACTATGTAGTATCCAGGGACTATAACCCTGAAAAAGTTCTATTGAGAAGAATTTTTTTTCTTTTTAAAGGCAAACTATGCAAGTGTTAGATAATGAGTACTAAGAAAATGATAAGAGAGGGTGATAGGGAGAGAGTATGTAGTCATGATGAATGGTCACAAAAATTCTGAGTAGGGAACGTGTGTGAGCTGAAATCTAATGAAAAGAAAGAGTGAGCAGGGGCGCCTGGGTGGCTCAGTGGGTTAAAGCCTCTGCCTTCGGCTCAGGTCATGATCCCAGAGTCTTGGGATCGAGCCCCGCATTGGGCTCTCTGCTCAGCGGGGAGCCTGCTTTCTCCTTTCTCTCTGCCTGCCTCTCTGCCTACTTGTGATCTCTGTCTGTCAAATAAATAAATAAAATCTTTAAAAAAAAAAAAAAAAAAAAAAAAGAAAGAGTGAGCAAAAGAAATGCCGGGATGCAAAGATCCAGGGAAGTAGCTTCTGGCAGGGGAAGCAACAGGTGTAAAGAACCTTAGATAGAAATGAGTGTGGTTTAGGGTCCCCTGGTGGCTCAGTTGGTTAAGCAACTGCCTTCAGCTCAGGTCATGATCCTGGAGTCCTGGGATCGAGTCCCACATCAGGCTCCTAGCTCCATGGGAAGTCTGTTTCTTCCTCTGACCTCCCTTCTCAGGGTCTCTCTCTCTCTTTCAAATAAATAAATAAATAAAATCTTAAAAAAAAATAAAAAAGAAATGAGTGTGGTTTAGTCAAGGCATAGGAGGAAAGCCACAGGGGCTCAAGCAAAATGAACCCAGGGGGCTGAGAGGCAAAGTTAGAAAGTAGGAGTGAGGGTCTAGAACAACCCATACATCAAGCCAAAAGAACCAAAAAAATATTTCAGAAGACTCTAAAACTTGCATGTGATAGCAGTTAGTTACCTGCTTTGCCCCATTTTACAGATTAGAAATCTAAACCGAGGCTCAAAAAATCTTCATGGTTTTTCCTAAGGTCTAATTGCAAGTGAGAGAGTGGGTGGGCTGGATCTAGATTCGGGTCTAGATATGGGAGACAGGCCATGCCGGGTCTAGATTTGGGTAATTTCATGAACACACTCTCAGCCACCATGCTGGAGCCCTGTGTCTGCAGGTTAGGTTACATCTAACCAGGGTTCTCAGCCCACATGGCTGTCTCTGTAGCACCCAGCAGGTACTTACAGGAGTGCAAGCTCGGTACAAATTTGAAATGAACGGAAAAATAAGAGAACTTTCTAAGCCAGTATTCTCCCAACTGGTGTCTCCAGAGTTTATTCTGCAAGATATTGTTAAATGGACCCTGAAAAAGAATTGAGTGGCAGTCAAGCTTGCTGTTTAGAACTTCCTCAGCCAGGCTCAGTTTGTAGAGTATGTGACTCTTGACCTTGGGGTTGAGTTTGAGCCCCACATTGTGGGGTAGATTGTACTTAAAAAAAAAAAAATCTGGGACACCTAGGTAGTTCAGTCTGTTAAGCTCTTGGTTTCAGCTCAGGAGTTTGAGCCCCGTGCACTCAGTGTGGAGTCTGCTTGACATTCTTCCTCTGCCTAAAATAAGTAAATAAGATAAATCTTAAAAAAAAAAAAATCTTTAAGAACTTTTTTAGCCAAAGCAATGAACACACTGATTTTTTTTTTTTTTAAACATAACCCAATATTACAGAGAAGAAAACAGAAACGTAGTTTTGTGTCCTTTGTAGGGCTAAGATGTAAAAACACTTGCAACAACCTGAAAAGATGATGCAGGTCCTTTTAGCATTTTAGAGGTCAAGAATCTACTGAAAGCAGCAAGTTCTGTTCCCAGGAAAATGCTATCAGCACACGTTACCAGGCAACCTTCCGAGTAAAGCCAACAGAGTCCAATTTAGGAACTCCTGCAATACTGGATTTTCAAAAACCACCTTCTTTGTCAGAGAGAGAGAGAGAAAAAAGGAGCACAAACAGGGGGAGTGGCAGGCAGAGCAGGCAAAACAGGCAGAGGGAGAAGCAGGCTCACTTCCGAGCAGGGAACCAGATGTAGGACACAAACCCAGGACCCTGGGATCATGACCCGAGCTGAAGACAGTAGCTTAACCAAATGAGCCACCCAGGCATTCCCCTCCACCCTCCCTTTAAAAAAAAAAAAGGTTTTATTTATCCATCTGTTGGAGGGAGAGAGAGAAGACAACCAGGGGGAGCACCAGGCAGAGAGAGAAGCAGGCTCCCCACGGGGCAAGGAGCCCGATGTGGGTGGGACTCCATCCCAGGATCCTGGGATCATGACCTGAGCCAAAGGCAGACGCTCAACCTCAACTGACTGAGCCACTCAGGTGTCCCTAAGTACTGCTTCTTAAGCCATTTATACCCAATAGACAAACACGTAACAGAACATTTTTATTGAGGTGGATATCAATGATTCCCTCAACACTAGAACTGAGCTGAGTAACATAGGCCCTAAAGAGAGGATTCCTGATGAAGTCTCTTTTGCAAAAGTTCATTGTCCTCAGTGGTAACAGATTATTCTAGAGAACCTTAAGCAACAGATGTTCTGGATTCTAAATCATATGGTACTTAGCT